AAAAAAAAAAAAGGGTTAAAGCCGTGGAAATGTTGCAATCAGAAGTTTGTCAGAAAGAATTGAAACCTATTTAATATTTCATCGAATGCGATATTAGTTAACTAATTTTTTAGTTTTGTCAAGCTTACAGTTACCTTCGGTGAACAGAAGTAAAGTAAATTTATTATGTTTCAAAAATGATAAATAAAGTGGTAAAAATAATATGCTAATGGAAATTGGGCAGTAATTTTTTCTTGAAGATCGTTATCTCGAGGTCATCCCGCATTTTCGCTATCACTTCTTAGCTAACTACAATTACAAAACTAAAAGAATTGCCTATACGTACACTGGATATAGCCAATGATGATAAATCAGCGATCAATTTAGTCCTTGGAAGATGAAGCCGATGGGATAAAGAGCATTATTTAAAATTAATCATTTATTCTTTAAAATCATGAATTGAGTTATTGAATAAAGTTATTGAACAATATTCTATCATTCGACTAAAATTAATTGATGCAATACCAATTTCAAATACAAAGATATTTTGATTATATGAATATTTTATACTATAAAGTGATTTCAGCTTTTTCGACATGCTCTGACAATGGTATGATAACTTTCTTATTTCACATTTTGCTTTTCTCCAATGCTTAATGCTGCTATTAGAGCTTCGAATTTGATAATCATGAACACATAAATCAAAGTTTGGTTTTCGTACGATTTTTTTGCAACTTTAAATATTTCAACATTTTCAAGAATTATCAAAAGCCATCGTTATTATCCTTCTGAAGAAGGATAATAACGAAGATGTATTTAAGTTAAATAAACACATCTGATAATTACGTAAAAGTTTATGAAGAAAAAAAATGTCGCCAAATAATTTATTCAAATTCGAAAAATTTTTGCTATAAACAAAATAGATTAATGTAAGAAGTTTTGATATTACAATTTGGCTTTAGACGTTGCCGATTTCAATAATGTTCGTAGCTTCATGGCTTTTGCCAAATTACCTTTAATTTTTAATTTGCGCTGCTGGAATGCCTGAAATCATTTCACATGATATTAACTGCTGAGTGCTCTTAAAAAGGAGTGAAAAAATTTCGAGATATGGAGCCATAAATAACACTTCAATTCTTTCTCGAATAATTAATTCACAATATGAAAATGATCGATTTATTTGTAAGAAGCAAAAGCGGAATGATTTTAATGAATTGGAAATCAAATATGATTAATGTTACTCTGTAATATTTTGTCTAATTCATATTAAAAACATTGTGTTACAACAAATGATACAAACTAAACATCATACTTATTATCGTTTTTCAATTTTGAAATATCAAATATGTATATTTACCTGATCAGGTCGCAACTTTCCAGCAACAATTTTTATAAAATCAGATTCCATCATTGACATTTCCACATCTGCATTACCTTCACCCATTTCGACGATAGTCGGTGGTGTCACCTAACAATGAAGCTATATTTGAACGACAAAACATTCTCGCATTGCATCAATTTTTAGCAAACTTTAATTTAGTTCATATCAAAAAAAAAAAAAAATGAAAATGAAAGGTAACAATTTAATTTGCATACCTTACAATTAACAAACCATTTCTTGACAGTGTTATCTGGCCCGGTCAAAATAAATCTGTATGAGCTGTTTATTTTCTTTGGTAAATCTGTTTCCTGAATGTAAAACAAAATAAACATTTGTTTCTTTTTTCTTTGAACGAAATCGATTCATTTGAAATTCCTGCATTCATTCGCCAAATTTTGAAAATATAATTTTATAAAAAAAAAAACGAATTTCCTTACCACTTTTGCACGTTCTTTGATCTCATCAAAAATGGCATCGCTTAGAAAGACTGTTTTTGCAGGAATTTTTACATTTGACGAAATTGTTGGAGATGGTACAGCTAAACGATATAATGCTACCATTCCAGCTCCACCAATTCCTTAATAATCTTTTTTTCTTTAAAACAGAAAGAAAATTGATTTTTCTTTTAAATTTTAAACTGCTGCATACTGATCAATCGTTGTAATATTCTAAACTTACTATTACTATTCGAAAATTACGTTCTTTTTTTTTTTTTTTTCTAAAATATTGCATTTGAGATAAATGGTGTTACCAATATTGTGCTGCATTGCAACTTTACAATTTGGTACCTGACGTGCACCAGCAAGACCACGTAATTGAAGCGATAATTCAACAACTTGTGCAACACCTGAAATATAAAAAGTGAAAATTTAAAGTAGTCTTTTAGTAAGAAAAAGAATAAAAATTCATTTTTTCTTGTATTCATATTCATACCAGTTGCACCGATTGGATGACCTTTGGATATTAAGCCACCAGATGGATTGATGACCCATTTTCCGCCATATGTATTATCATTTCTATCAACAATTTGACTACCTTTACCTGGAAAAAAAAATTCTTTTAATTCGATTTCTTTGAAATTAATAATGGAAAAAGTTACTCTCGTTAATAGCGTTTTCTTTTCAATCAATTTTTACTGAATTTCAACCATTTTTTCAAAAATGTATGTATACATTGCATAAAATCAATTTAACTATAGTTTTGAAATCGTCTCCTTAATAATCAATTTCAATTTCACCGAGAAATGATATCAAAATTTCATATGCAATTTTGAACAATTCAAACATGGGACTAAAAAAATAATTTTAAATTTTAACTGTGAACTAAATAAAAGTGACTTGCCAACGGGACAAAGTCCAAGCGCTTCGTAAGAAATCAATTCATTTGGTGCAAAGCAATCGTGCAGTTCAATTACCTGTAATACTTATTTTAATATGTTACTATTTCCTAATATTCTTCTAAAAAACATTTGAACATTTTATTGTTGAACAAATTTCAAATTCTCAAAAAAAAAAAAAAAAAGAAACTAATTTCTTCGATTTCATACCTGCACGTCATTTGGTGTTAAGCCCGTCTTCTGATATAATCTTGTTGATAATTTTTGTATCATATCGAAGCCAATCAGTTTTATACTTGAACGTTCAGCAAATACCGACGGTTCATCGGTTCCAAACTCAGCACCTATATTAAAAATATTCAATATAACTTTTTGTTTTCTAAAAATTATAGCAAAAATAACATGAAATAATCTATACCTTAAATCATCGTATGGGATATATATAACATTGAATTTTGATATTTATCAGTTTCAATTAATCTATTTCATCTATTTTATATTACATATGCCATCCCTCAATATTTCTGTTAGAATTTATTTACACACAAAAAGAACCTTTAAGCATGATTTAAAGTAAAATATCAAATTTACTGTTTAAAAGTCAAATTTAGAGAATGGTTACAAATTTTTGCATCTATAATTTACATTTGACTTTCAATTCTTCAAGTGAAATTTATATCAAATATATTTTGAAACATATTTTGCACATCTAACTTTCTTCACTCCAAATTATTACCACATTTACTCAGATTTCCAAATACATTTGAAATTCAAAATTTTCAAACTATTATTACCTATAATTTCGACAGCTTGTGCCGACAGATGAGGAGATTTTTTCAAGAATTTCTCGCTACATAAAATTACTGCTGCTGCACCATCTGATGTTGGACTGAAAATATCAAATTCAATTTTGTGTTTTGGAAATTTTCCAAAATCATTTCTTTGAAAAAAAAAAAAGCAAAACCTTCACTTTTGTTATCTCCTTTTTGTAAAGTTTTAAGTTTTGGAATATTATAAACATTGCAAATATTCTTTCCACAATAATCATCACTTTTGCTAAAGTTATAATAATTAGCTTAATTGGAACAATTTGATAAAAAAACGAAAAATATATCCAAGGCGTTTTATATGTCCGATTTAAATTACTGCTAATCTATCGGATCATTTATCGGATTAATTGTTCAATGATCGTTTAACCTGCATTCCAGAAGACCCATAAAATCGTGAATTACTCTCGCATTCAGAATCTCGTTCAAACTATACTCCTTTTGGAATTGTGAATTTCTGTAACAGCGAGGAAAAGAAAAGCAATTAACAGCCTTTAGCAATAAATGATTTCATTCATTTTTATCAGTAAAGTTAATGATTTGAATTAAAATTACGTATTTTACTCTTCGAAAAGAAATTAATGGCAAAATTAAAAAAGAAATAACAGTGAAACAAAAGGAAGGTCGAATTTACGGGGATGACAAGAAGAATTTCTTAGATTCCGATTACATTCTTGCTTCATTAACTTTAGATGAAATTGAGATAAATCAAAATTTTTAACAAAGAGATATTTTCCATATTCTTTATTTCTCTCATTCATTTTTCGTTTTTGCACTTTTCAACTTTTGACGACAAATGGAAAATAATTTCAAACAAACTTACGGATTATCAATGGAATGTTTATGATTTTTTTGGGCTATTTTAGCAAAATGCTCTCTTTTTGTTCCTAAAAGGAAAAAGGAAATAAAATGGTATTATTTCATAAATTATTTAAACTAAAATTAAAAGGGAACACATAGAATAAAATATCAACATATCCACCCTATATCTCTGCTTTTACTTCTTCAGATTTTTTTTTTATTCAAAAAAAGAAACAAAAAAAAAAAATGATATTTTAGAAAATTCAATAAACAAATAAATTCTAAAATTGAGCAAAATGAAGACAAATTTTTGAAATAAAAATATTTGTAAATCAATAAATTAAATAATACATCTAAACAAAAATTGGTTAATTTTTGACTAACAAAACAACCATATTTATCCATATGTTCTCGGCCAGCATTAGCAAACATTTGAGCCATAAGCGGTACAGGTACTAGGCCATTTGTGCTCGAAATGACATCGATATGTCGTTCCAATGAATGCGTTCGACCATCGATACTTTCCATTGATTCCAATGAGCCTCCTTTCATTTTCTCAAAACCAACTGCAAGCATAACATCTGCATGACCTGAAAAAAAAAGAGGATTTTCGAGAAATGCAGTAATCATTGAATTCTTCTGAATAATTTGAATTGATTTATTTTGAATTCATTTATTTTTGGTAAAATAGATCAGACTGAATAAAATATCAAGATATCATAATTTGGTATGTAAAATTTTAACTAAATAATCATTACCTTTAATTAATTGTAAAATTAATGGTAGGTTAATAAATAAAGAACGAAAATTACGAATAAGTTTGCTAATGAATGTAAATTTTTGATATTAAAAAATTGATTATTCAATGCACTATTTCATATATAAATGGATCATTTCAGAAATAAATTAATCTAATGATAAGTAAATTTTAAGCTAAACAAAAAATTTGAAAATAAATGTGCAAAATTTACTAACAGTTATCATAAAGAATAAATATAAGGATTAACATAGAAGTTTAATTCAAACTATATAATTATCGAGATTACAAATATATTAAAGATATTAATCAAAAATTTTCCATTTCATCAATCTAACTTTCAAAATACTACACTAATTATTGAAATTAATTAATAGCTGTATGGCAATTGTGATATTATTTTTATTGCTTTTTATTACAATTTTAATTCCTTTTAACCTCCTTCAATACACAATTTCGAGAGATAAATAGCTGTTGAACCACTTGCGCACGCATTGTTCACCTCAAATACATTAAATAATTTTTTAGTAATTGATAAGAATAAATTGGCTTTTTAAGTAATTGATGAGAACAAATTGGGGAATTAACTTTTTCTCCAATTACTACTAAATATTTACTTCTGAAGCGGAAAAATGGATGGAATAATAATTTTACTGCTTTCATAAAATATAGAATTTACAGATTCTTTGTTGCAATTATGTTATTTTATTTTTTTTTTTTTAATATTGCTATGTAATGGTGAACATTGTAAATAGGAATTCCGGTAAGTCCAATTTCGTAAAGTGCTCGTTGTCCACAACAGGTACCACCATACAGGTAAGCAACCGCCGCTTGTTCCACACTGCTATATTGCAGTTTTGCATCCGATAAGGCTTTATTTACTGTAAAAAATTTGCGCACAATACGATAAATTCAATTATATTAAAATAGTCGAAAGAAATAATATTTACAATTCTAATTTTTGCAATAACAATTATCAAATTGTGAGATAATAGCAATTAGATAATGAAAATGTGTTGAAAAAAAATTAGATTTGAAAATTTGTAGTTCCCTACTTTGATCAGAAACATTTCATCAGTTCAATAAAAATAAGGGAAAGAAAAGTTGAGGAGTTTGATGAAAGTATAATGATTTCATGAATTCAAAAATGTGAAAAATGCCTTGCCTGCTTCTTTTATCATATCGGGATAATCCCAATTTGGTACCGATCCCGGTTTTACAAACTGTAATGAGAAATAAAAAAAGATTTTAATTATGTGAATCGTAGTACAAGAAACAAGAAAAAATTTAATAACCCAGAAAAGGCAATTTTTTTATTGTAATTCTCATTAAATTAATTAGTCTGATATTAACTACATCTTTTTTTTTTTTACTTTTTACTTATACTCTTTCTCGACAATTTTTGATTATATGTCGAACTTTTTTCAGAAATCCATTATTCTTTGTTATTCCTCCGTTTGTTTGTTTTTTTCCAAACCTGATTTCATCTCTTTATTTTCATTAAAAAATTTCTTAACATGCATACTTTTCCTCATTTATTTAAATGTTAAAAAAGAGAAAAATTATTCATTTTTTCTTTTTTATTTTTTGATTATAATGTGTGGTATAACATATGATTTTCCAAAATAACATTGGCAAGGAAAATGTAAGGAAAATTACCAATTTTAGGTATCTTTTTCCAAAATTTCAAAAGATATAATCTGAAAAAATAACAAAGTTAATTCAGTATATGAATAAATTAATGAAATTTACCTTAGTCATTCCAATACCAATAACATAAACTTTCGGCTTGTCTTTTGATGTCGACATTTCTTGACTGTTTTAGTAATCGATCAATAACTGAAAATTAGTAAATTCATGAGAAAATTTTTGATCAAATTAAAACATCAAAAATTGCATCTAAATTTGATATGATAGTAATTCCTAACATGACATTTTATCCCGTTATCATGTAACTCTATCAAACAGTTCAATATTATTCTTAATCATCTGCAAAATTGTTTGCTAAAATTTTTATGATTTCTTGTTATTATCTATTAAAAAAGATGAAATTTTTTTAGAATAATTTTATGGATCATAAATTCTAATAAAATGCTTTTGAAAATATGATTTAGTTTTTCAAATTGTTAAATTTTCATGAAAATAATAATTTCCAAATTTTAATAAATTATTTGGATTTGAAAATTTGAAACAGTAATTATGGTGTAAAATAAATGAAAATATTACAAAGTAAGCAATGACAATTTCATACGTTTACAAAAATAAAAATCGATCAATGAAATGAACGCGCAGCGACGATGAAACAGCACATTCGTCCGTTTGCGAAGACGAAATTTCTGCGGTAAAGCGAAACGATTGCTGCGTATTCCTCCTTCATAAACCGTGTCATTGATTGGTTGGTTGGTTGTTGAATGTCACCGTTGTTGTCATTCCTGCTATTGTCGTTGATGATAATGATAGTGATAATGATAGTGATAAGGATAGTGATAAGGATGACTGTGATGACGATGAATGAATATCTCACTCAACACGTTCCATCAATCAATCAATGAACTGTGCTAATTTCTTGAGATAGAATGTTCTCTCCAGTAAGTATGATAAAAAATAAAAAGAACAAAAAAAAAAACCGGATGACTATTTCAGATCAAATAAAATTTAATTTAAAATGGTCAAATTTGTAACTAGTTAATCACTTTAAATTACATTTCTTAAAATAAAGAAATTTTAAAATTTTAATTTTAATCTGAAACAATATGAAAATAGAATTAATAATGCGTTATTGTTGAAAATTTCACCAAAATAATTTTGATAATACTTAAAAATTGAGCTCACATATTGAATGAAATGTAAATCGTGAAATAGTGATTGCTAATTGTATTAGTTATGAAGCTTTACAAAATTCGAGAAATGCAAATTTGCAAAGATGACAATTAACTCATTTTCTTCCTCTCTTTCTTCTCTTTGATACATTTATTAATACATTACCCTAATTCTACGCTATTAAATTAATTTTATTTTGCAAATTTAAAAGTCATTTTTAAAGGCTACCAAATTTTGATAATTCAAAATATTTCGTTTTTAAATTCAAATACCAAAATCCTAAAAAAAATGGTCATAATTACTTCGCTTACTTATAATAAACTTGTTCACATAGATTGTAAGTTATTTTTGATGAAATAGATTAGCATTTTAACAAATGAAAAAATTTTACCTAAATATTGAATAATAAAAATTAAATTAGAAAACACTATTTTTTAAAATCATGCACATATCGAGTAAAAATTTCTCGCTCGAATTTATTAAATATAAATGATTGATTGGTATTTTGCTATATCAACAATGAATATTTATTTAAATTCATCGACTACAATTTTTTGACAAAAATTATAGTTTGAAACTATCGAATAACGTTAAATTATCATCATAAAATTAATTAAATTAAAAAAAAAAAGATTTTTATTGTATCAGATAGCTTTGCTTCTTTCTTTTTTTGTCGTCCTTCAATTAAACGACAAATTTGAATTTTTTTTTTATTTCTTTCTTTCTAAGATTCTCTTTGTTTTATGATGCATTTTTCCAATAAAACACTAAATTTTGTAATGAAAAAAAAAAAACATCATCGGACGTGTATTTTTACATAAAATAATACTTTTATTAGTTTAATAAATTTTTTTAAATTTCATATCCTTCCGGATGATTTCCATAAAGAGTATAAGTAAAAAGTAAAAAAAAAATAAGATGTAGTTAATATCAGACTAATTAANAAAAAAAAAAAAAAAACATTAAAATTGTTTATCTATAGTGGAAAAGTTCAAAAAGACGAGGTCAAAAGGAATTTTTATTTTGGTATGCCAACAAATTTTAATTATTACTGTGCCTGCAACCATTATAACCATTTCCCCGCTCCCTCACCACTTTTCCGATGTCACACCACCACTGATCCTATTACAATAGCCGTTGAACTGACAGATTCGAGGTCATCGCAATGTGTCGCATAAAATAATGGGACCACGCGTTTGCCGTTATTTACTATTATTTGATGATTCTTCTCAATTTTTGCTTCTTTTTTTTCTCCCGTTATTTCGTTATTTATTTATTTACTGACAAATTCGTAATGCAAATATGACTAGAATTGGATATCAGAAATTGAGAAAAATATCTTTTACAAAAATATATATATATGTGATGATAAAAAATTACTACTTTTTTTTATTTATTTATTCAATTGAAGAAAAAGAAACAAACTTGGGTTGATTCAAAATGTAAAAAGTGAAATCGAAATATTTGTTTTTTTTTTTTTTTGGAAAAATCAAATTATAATTATTAGCTGCTATTACTTTTTTTGCAACAATAAATTTTATGACAATTTAGAAATCCGTCTTTCACAGTTTAAAACCATAACTATTTCATGTGTTTCAAAATTTTTAATCAGATAAATTAAGATAAAATTCATGACAAGATTAATATTATTTTCCAAAAATTTGCTTATATGCATATTTGTTTCTTAATATCAATATATGAAAAATTTTATATTAAAAGATCGCTATTAAATTATATGATAAGCAATGGTCATTTTTCTAAGTTTTACTCAATTTTTCTTAATGTTTTCATAAATCAAAAAATTTGATAAATTATATTTTGCTTGAGTGTTGAATGATCAATAGCATCACCATCATCATAATTTGCTACACTTATCCGTTGTTGAAAATTCAAGTTTGTATCTGTCATTAATGTCAACAAGCATTTAAAAATCTTTCAACATATTGCAAAAATCTGCCAACAATTTCAACCATCAATTCCAAATTAAAATTTTCTTAAATTCGAAACGAAAGGGAAAAAAGATGCTCGAAACTCAAAGATTTTATTACTTCTTTTTCAGTTTGTTATCAAAATTTTCTATTTCTTATTCGTTTGTATATTCACAAATACGCAATCAATTTTCCTTCACAATTCTGCAACAATTTTTTCTTTTTCTTTTAAATTACACTTTTTATTCATTCTTTTCAAAAATTTCATCTCAAAAACGTGTTCCATTTGAAGGTCATCGAAGGCCTGTTTTTCTTTCTTTTATTTTCCGCCATGTCCTTCTATGCTACAAATATTTCAGTTCCGGGAAAATTACTATTTTTTCCGAGATTTACTTTTTTCAACAATTGGTAAATTGAATATGGAAAGAGAAACAAAACATGCTTAGATTTGAATATTTCACTCCATATATTTTGACCTTAAATCATTTGTCTTCATATTCATTTCTTTTATATATTTATCAATTTCACATTCATAAAATTATTCTACAAGGTGCCTTAGCAATAATTGATGTATTAAAAATGACCAGTAATATATTTGACTTAAATTATATAAAAATTAAACTTTAATTAATTGCATAAACATGCATATTGCTTTTTACAAGCTATATCTTTGAATATGTAGACAAGAATTATTTAAATTAATTTTTTCTGCTTACTGATCTGCTTATTAATCAACTTTAACCCCATGTAGCAGTGATATAAATTTAACCTACATTTCACATAATTTCGCTTTTTCTTAAAAATTTTCTTTCAGATTGCCGCCATTCTTTAGATGGCTTATGTTCAGAAGAAACTATTTGAAAATTAAAAAAAGATGAAAAATAAACTTTGGTAGTATATTATTACTTTCATTTAAGTTTAGTTAAAAATAAAAAAAAAAGTGGTGGAAAATTTTTGATGGATAGTAAAAATATCAGTGAATTAATCATGCAAAATATGCTATCCGATTTGATAACTTTCAAATTTATCAATTCACCTTACTTTTTTGTAAAATTCCATTATTTGTAGACAACAATTCCATTTGTTAACAAAGTAATATAAAATGCTTTTACCAGAATTAAAAAGAATTTTTTCCAAAACTTATAAAAATTTAAAACTTTGTATTAATTCGATAACAACTTTCTGATCATTCGTTCCTTATTAAATTAAGCAGCTTACAATTATTTTACCAATCAATTCATGAATTTTGAAATAAATAAACTTTGAAATAACTAAAAAATTAAGTTAAAAACATGAAATATTCATTTATTATAAATGCTGTAATTGCAACAATTAATGGGGAAAAAAGTGAAAATCGTTAGTTTGTTTCAATTCATGTGAAAAGTTCTAAGTAAAGAAAATTAATCTAATTTAATTGTAAATGATAGCTTGCTTACATTACAAAACTTCAATAATCTTTTTTTTGATTATTATTTAATGAAAACAAAAAAAAAATTAAGCTACATTTTATAATCTTATGTATTATTGTAAATCAACTGCAAATTAGGTCATAGTTTAGTTTGCAAAAATTCTATAATCTCTCTCTCTCTCTCCTTTCTTGTTTCCAAACATTTCTTTTGCTTCTTTCTATTAATTCATCCCTTTATGCAATCCCTTTGATAATTTTTATATTTAGATATCAAAATATAAATTTGACGTGAAATGTATATGTGTGTGTGCGTGTTTGCATGTATGCGTGTGTGTGTGTGTGTTTGCGTGTGTGTGTGTGTGTGTGTTTGCGTGTGTGCGTGTGTGTGTGTGTGTGTGTGTGTGTGTGTGTGTGTGTGTGTGTGTGTGTGAAATTGTTGGGCATACGATAAATATATTGCATTATATAAGAAGAAGTTTAGTATAAATGGCGCAATCATTCTTCTAAAATTATTCATAATTTTTGCGTGCATTAATCTGATGAATATTTGAAAATTTTGAAATTTTATTCTCATCTTTATTTCTGCACAATACATTTCATTCAATATGCAATCGTTTTAAGAAATATTTATAATGGAAGTAAAATATTTTATGTAATTAAAATGTCAACAATGGCATAACTTAATAATAAAATTGATCTGTAAATACGTTTAACTAAAATAGTTCCAAAATTATTAACAATTTTCTAATAATTTATTGTTCATTATTTCAAACTGTTAATTTGTTATTTCGTTCATTCCAGTATTTATTATTATTTCGGTTGAGTAATTTTGTTTTTCGTCAATTATTTGTATTATATTTGACATTTAAAAATTTATAACAATAATATGCTAATTCGTTGACATTGCTTTAAAATTATTTTGGTTGTGTTGTAAAAACGAAGAAAATTTGATTGTTGCAAAATAATCTGGCTGCTGATAATGAGAGAAATTTAACTGATGTTAAAGTTTTTTTTTTTTTTTTTCATATTTCCTCCTCCTTTTTCCCTATATTTAATTTGAATCATACAATTATTCCAAGATTGTCGCAGGTAAAACGGAGAGGGCTGGAATTGAAGATTATAGTATATTCGTAACAACCACAATTTTCTAATAAATTGACCTCAAATCTTTTGTTTGAAAATATCATCAACTGTTTACTAACAATGGATGAAATTGTAAATTAGAATTCAATTTACACCACTTTTTCTAAATCCAATGCTATTGAATTTAAATCTAATGCTATTGAAAATTTTACAACATTGCAACTTTAACACGTATGGTTTGTGTGAAAGACAAAAAGTTTTGTAGGACTTCAGTCTAAAAAATTTCATCATGTTAAGTTTTTTCTTCACATCCACGTTTATTTGTCAAAAAAATATCGTAATTAAAAATTTAATATTAAATTAATACTCGTTTCCTTTACAGACAAAATTTGTTATTTATTTGAATTTGAAGCTTTGATGACCAATTTGAAGATCTGAAGTGTCATGTGAACTTTTTGCGAGGCAATTAAAATGCAAAAATTTTTTCTTCTTCTTTCCTATGACATTCAATGTTTTAAATTTTTTCATCCCTTTAAGTTTTTGATATGTTTGACACTTTCAAAAAAAGTATTTAAGCTATCTTTGGGAGATATTACAGATATTTAACTATAGATTATCATTTTAAAATCTGAAGGTCAGTGTTATTTATGACTAACCATGTTGGTAATGAATAAAATACTCAAAGTTATCAATGCTTTAGTTTAAAATCCTATTAAATCGTTCCTTTTAGTTTTAAAATAAAATTCCAATTTTTGCAAAATACACTTTAAAATCTGAATGTCCCAGAAGTAATTTTTGAATTTTATCAATTTCTAGAAATAAGGTCATAGATTGATTCAGCAAGCATCACTTATCAGCAACAAATTTGACAAATTACATGAGGAGATCTTTTCGCATGTTCGATATTTCAATGTTAAATCTTGAATTTCTCAAAATACGCGATTTTGGAATGCATAAAAATTTGCTCTAATACCGGTTGACAAAATCATACTGTTATGAAATGCTATGAAATTCAGGTCAAAGTTGAAATATCGAATATAACAGAGGATTTCACATCATGTTATTTATCAATTTATCTTTTCAAATTTATTAGAAATCAAGATTTACAATTAGTACAATGATTTGAAATCAATGTTACTGATGGCGATCAGTACATTTCAAGGTCTTAAAAAAAATATTAAAATAATTTTCGCAAGTACATTCTTCTTTATTTATGACTCATTAAAAATTCAAATTACTTTTATTTTCTTTATTTTTATTTATTCATGCACTATTACTTTTCGTTCTCTCAAAATTCATGCAAATAAGCATCGTTATTTATTTATCTTCTTCTAATTTTTGGTAAATAAAAAAAAAACGATTGAGTGATAATGGATGAATGCAGAAAATGGTAGTTTAAAAATTCGAAATAAATTTAGCTAATTAATTAAATTTTTACCGAACGTTACTAGAAGTACTGAAAATTTACGTGAAATTCTAATAATAAAACAAAAACTTTCCAATTATTTCAAATTAATTTTTTGGGATTATTTTTATTGTTTAGAAAAAAGCACAGAATAGTAAAAAAAAACTGTTATTTTATTAAAATTGCTAAGGGAAGCTTTCTAATATATTTTAAGCTCTATTACGTCGTACTTTGAATTTTTCTCAAGTATTTCTATGGTAAAATGCGATACTTTTGGTTCTAATCCCATTCCAACTCATAAATTATAAATTCTTTCTTTCTAAACAACAAATAATCAGAATGTTTAATTTTAACTGCTTATACAAATATTATTTCAATTTCATTTTATTTTTATATCCTGTTTTTTTTTTTTGCAATTATTTTATTTTTAACATTTTTTTTTTTAAAGAATACAATAAGTGCTTGACGATAGCTTTATTATTTTTCGTACTAATTATCGAGTGATAATATTTAACAAAGGACGCTTAAAACTTTAAAATTTCCTAATCGTAATTCTTTAACTTTTTTCCTTTAAATACGCATGTAAAAATACTTAATTCCTTCTTTTAACATATTTTTCCCTCTCTCTTTTCTTTCTCTACAAAAATAGCACAACATAAAATTTTCAAGGCAATAAAATATGGTGATTAAAGAAATTTCAAACAAACCTTTTTGGTGAATAAAAGAAGGAAAAGAAAAAAAAAAAACTAAATATCAATTAGCCGAGAAAATGTTCTTCCTCACAAAATCCGATTAAAACTCTCTTTCATCGACCATTTATTCATTTCCTTTCCTCATCCATCCATTATATAATTGTAATTTTTCATTTCTCATTTTTTTTTTTGTTGAATGAATGAATATAATTCAAAATTTGAATGAATAAAAGAATAATGTTTGACGAAAATAGCCCGCGCATTTATTGTACACATTTATCCTCTCCGTAATTCTGTTACATTCCATTATAATTTGTTGCAGCTAATTCAATATATTATAATTATCTCAAGTAATTAAATACTTCCTAACAAGTTGTCCATATAAACAATAATAAAGTGCATTTTTTCATTCACTGTATTCTGCGGTATTGCATTACTTTTTGGAAAATTGATATTATTGAAATGACAGAAAGCGAGTGATTCTAATTTTTTCTTCTCCATTTAGAAAGTATCAAAGATATGAGTAATTTGATGTATTAACCAAAACTAAAATTATTAATGTGTTGCGGTCGAAGTTCACGAGTGTGGCATCTGTTTGTCGTTTCAATTTGGCTCCTACTCACAATTATACGAGAAATTCTCGATTCGATCGGTAGATTGTGGATACCGATTGTTTTTAATTCATTTCAAGTAAATATTTTTTGATTTATTTCGCTCTTGATGTACAATTTTCGAACTATTTTGAAACTTTACCTAATTTACCAAATTGTTAATATATCAAATTTTGAGGAATTTCAAATATGAACTGTTAATATTTGAAGGAAAAAATAGGGGAAATAAAAAAAAATGAAAAGTGCGGAGAGCTTTGAAAAATTTAGTTATTAAATTACATTTGAATTTTAGTTATTTGAAATTAATGGGATTAGTTAAAAATGCAAATAGAAAAGCAAGAAAACATCAAAAAACTAAGAAAAAAAAAAACGAAATTCAATTTTTTTTCGATCGCAGAAAATATTCCATTAATTTCATATGGTGCTTATTTGCTATTTTATAACTTTAATTTCAAAAATTTATAAATCAAATAAAGTTTGTTTTTTACAATATTGCTCAAAATACTTTAATTTTATATCAATTCTAAATCAAAATTATCGAACAGATTTCTAAAAAATAATAAATCCGTTAAATTAATTTTTCAGATTTTTTCATGCATTTGTGGATTAATAGCAACTGTTCATTGGCAGAAACGATTATTGATGATTTTTATAATGTTCAATTTTATTTCCATATTTTACAATATTGCACTTATTCTGTGGTACAATGAATTGTTTGCTATCAGTCGTGATGCACCGGTACTCAGTGCCGGATTTTCCTATTCATACAGGTAAATATTTTATGCGATATATTAAAGTTACCTAATAGAAAATCGATAGTAATTGATTAATAAGAAATGGAAATTTATTACTATGCGAGATAATAGACGGTTTATTTTTAAATTTGATTAACAGATACATAGGCTACTGTAATTTCAAGAATGACGCATTTGTCTCCAAACTAACATATAACTTAAAAATTTCACAATTTAAGAAATTATTATTCAAAATGTTATTGCAAAAATTACCCTTAAATAATATATTTCAACAAAAAATAAAATTACATATGAAAGTTTAAATTAAAGTTTGAAACTCTCATATTATAAGACCGAAATTTTATCGATTTTTTTTTTGCTATACTGTATAATGTAGTTAAAATTATTTCTTAAGAAGGAAAAAAAAAAAGAAGATTGGAATTTTGTCAATGCTAAATTGAACCTACAAATATAAGTTAAAAGAATGAAAATTAAATAAAAAAGTCAAATTTTGAAAAATTTTTATACTTTTTAAATGTACCACGTATAAAGAGGACTAAAATTTGAAATTTTAAGTTTTGAATTTTATCCATAATTGCTTCCATAATAAAACTGAAACATTTAATGTTTAGTTTCTGTACATTATCATGCATTAAATTACCATTTCATTTCTCATCAAAAGAAATATTCGATTGGATGAAATTTTTTTTTTTATTTTTGTTAATTATCTCATTAATTTTCAGCTTTTTCCTTCGATATACACCATCTTGCAAGTCGTACTATAATCTTACAAATTTCCATTGGATACAATTACCATGCCTCATGCCTTATTATCATATTGAAGGTGCACAGGCTCTTTTGCATATTTTAATGGCTAATTTTTCCATTATTTTATCGATTATTCTCTTTCCGAAAAAAAATTTCAATAAAAGGTCTGTTAAATGTTTATCATAATTTCATTAAAACAATTATATTGCAATATATATTCTTTTTTTCAATCAAATATTAAATACCCTTCATTTTTTTTATTCATTATTTATTCACTCAATCTAAAAATTAACATAAACAATGTATTAAAATATTTTACATAATAAAAACTTGAAAATTTTTAAATAAATAAAAAAGCTGTGTTGGTTATTTTTTTTTTTACCGAATAAATAAAATAATTTGCAATTTTAGGCTCGAAAAACAAATTACCAATATGGTCAGTGATGGAAAATTGTGCACCGATCACTTCATGACTCATACGATGATTAATGGCAAAGGAAACGAGTAAATTATTTATAATCGTGATAAAAAGTAGTAAAGTATTCAAATATTGACTAAACTGAGCAATATCATAATTCAATGAAGAAATTAATAAGTGATACTGAACAGTGCCAAATATTAATTAAATTTAAAATTGCCAGCAATTGTTCAGAGAGTTTCTCTCACGATATGCGCTAATTGCTTAGGCGAATTAATGAAATTTGATGATTTTCTATACATTTAGAAACGAAAATTTTTAGTTGCCCTGTTATATAGGATTCAATTTTTACAATTTCTGAAATAGATGATGTGAATTATTAATTAATCGATGAGTAATTGTTTGTAAGATAGTAAACTTGATTTAATGCTAAAATGGTTATTGATTAAAAAATGTTGCAGTCAAGGAAGAATTAATCTAACCGATCAAAGAGTTGACGAGCAATGTGTCAGGCCTGAAAATGGCTATAAAAGACATTCCGCTAAAAAATCTGCCCGAAAAGGTTACAGGGAAGCAATTGCTGCTCATCAAAATTCAAACAATTTTCAGGTTTATTAATTTATAATCGAAATATCATAAAAGTTTAATTACAAACAATAAATGTTTTGAAAATTTAGTTTTTATTTAATGATCGATTTTTGCTTTCCTTTTAGTTAATAAAAAAGAATTTTGAGAGTTTAAAATGAGGGATTATTTTGAGTAAAATAAATTTTTAAACTGCTTTTTAGCTTGAAATAATTTTTGGATATTTTGTTAAATTTTAAAATTTCAGAAGCCGTTTGTTGTGAAACGCTCGCAATCAATGAGTGATTTAGAATATGAATGTCAAGAAATAGGACAAAGTTGCAGTCAAAAAAGTTACGAACCTGTAGATAATGGTATTAATTTCATAGGAACTTTTAATATGTTAGCATTGATAATTGATATTAATAGTTCAAAAAATTATAGACACATTGATTAGAAAAAAATTAAAAATTTTTTAAATTCATATTGAATGGTATTACCGATAGTATCATTTGATCGTTCATCGGATAAAAATTTCGAAAAATTCATCACCTTCTCATGAAATAAATTTCAGGTCTTACAAATTTTATTCATACGTCAAACAGGTCACAAGCAGTAGCTGCAAAGATGACAAATTCGGGATGTGTATATCGTAGTGGAAGTTTGAAAAATTTTAAAATGCCAACAACCGAAGGAGTAAGGCGAATTTTGTCACGTGAAGAGGTTCATTAAATCATATATCATTTTGCAAAAACGATCCGTACCATTGTTGCAGATCATTAAAAGTGAAAAGTTAATGTCTTTGCTTACTTTTAATGCTTTTAAAATTTCATTATAAATTTAGGTTTCAATTTACAGATGAATTTGGCAGATAATCTCCGAACAAATAATGCTTGTACAATTTCTCCAAATAATAATTTAAAATCGTTAGTATCATTCGATCCAAAAAGTAATGTTCTCCTCCGAATACATAATCATATTGATGATGATGACGATTATGATAGAGATAATAATAGTACTTATCAACGACAACAACAACAACAACAACAACAACAACAACAACAACAAAAGATACCGAGAAAAGTAAACATAATCTTGTAGCAAACAAATTCTAATATTCTTTTCCTCTTTCACTGCAACAAAATTTAAATTGCTTAAAATTTATATGGAAACTATTTATGGTGTAAATTAACCACAATATAATTCAAAAATATTTACAATTTATTTTAAATAAAAATTTAAGA